AATTTTCAGATCTTCCAAGCAAGTAGGTTTCGGAGGATTTAAATTGCTACGTTGCTTTTGAATAACACGCTTAACAGAATTTTCATTAGGTATATTCATTAAAATTTCAACCGGAAGACCACTAACCGCCTCGGCAAAAATCTGACTTGGTTTATCGCTAAATATTTTAGCACGATTTTTTATTTTGTGTTTAAATTTTTCTACTTCCAATGTGGTANAGCGTCTAAAAGACGAACACCGTGTTTTACAAGAAATCGTTTAAATATATCGATATTTAATTTATATTCAATTATAATATAAATTTTATTATAATATCGCAATACCAACAATTGTTTCGATATTTTTTTCGATTATATTATAAAATAGTCCAAAAATTATAATAAATAATTATGTCGTTGACATTTCGCCATCGACCATTGATTGATTACGATCTCCTGGGAGTCAAGTTCTATTATTTAATTGTTGTTGGCTTCTTCTATTCGTTTTCTTTGTTTATAATACATTTTTCGTATTATTTATTAATATATTAATTAATAATAATACTTAATATAATTCACAATGGATAATCGCATTAATGACGATGAAATCGTTAATTTATTGCTGGATGAATTTGCGGAGAACAGTGGTTCAGAACTTGATGACAATGATTCCGGTTAGTAACTAAAAAAATTGTAATAAAAAAAATAATTTTCACGAATACCTACTATTTATTAATTATTATTTTTTAGATGAAGATGTAACAGACGATTTAAATAAAACGTATACTAATTTGGCTCCTGTTATACCTGATTTTTATAACTACCTTGATGCTTTTGATCAACAAAATCTTGAACAAAGAAATGGTAATTTATTATTAAATAACTGTTTATTTTAATTCAGTTGTTTTATTATAAATAAATAAATTATTAATATATTAAATTATTATTTATCATTAAGAAATTAAATTTTTATTTTTTAAAAAATATTATCAGATGTTATGGAAATGGAATACGATGAAATAATGGCTACTCCGCTTAATGCGGAACACCCCACAACTGATGCTCATACATGGGGATTTGAAAGTGATGAAGAAGATGAAGATCGTCTAATGCATGTGCCACCAACCTATAAATTACCTGTGAATCACAGAAGACAAGGAACTCTCCCTAAATGGCGAGCAAAAAATTCAAAACCGAAACCGCATCCATTTACTGCCAAACAGCACGTTACAAACGAAGTAAGCGAAAACTCCACTGAGCTAGAGTGTTTTCAATTATATTTTCCGCAATTCATTGTAAAACTTATTAAAAAAGAAACAAATAGATATGCATTTTCGGTAATTCGTTCCCTAAAAAGACGTAATATTTTAAAAAAAAATTCAGTTTGGCATAAGTGGAAGCCCTTAAATATTTCCGAAGTGTATAAATTTTTTTCCATAATTTTACACATAAGTTTGGTTGAAAAACCGCACATTGAAGATTATTGGTCAACTAATCCTGTATTATACAAACAACATATGCTTCTAAACTTATGAAAAGGGATAGGTTTATAAGTATTTTTTCTATGTTGCATATCGCAAATAACGATAAATATGTTCGGAAATGTCAGCCTGGTTATGACAGCTTATATAAAATTAGATCGTATGTCAATTTTTTAAACGATAAAATGTCAACATTATATTATCCTGGGCAAAATATAACTGTTGATGAAGGGGTGTGTCCTTTTCGCGGACGAGTACATTTTAGGGTGTATATGAAGAATAAACCCGAAAAATATGGTATGAAATTATACATTGCTTCTGACCCTCTAACAGGATACACATTAAATTTTGAGATATATTCTGGGAAAGGACAGGAAAATAATTCTATTATACCTTTATATAGTCGCTTATTAAAACAGTATTTTGACAAAGGCCATACTATTTACATGGATAGATTTTACACTAGTCCAATGGTATTGGAGTATCTTTGGGATAATAAAACGAACGGTGTAGGAACGGTGATGGCAAATCGTAAAGGACTTCCAAAAGATACAGTAGTTAATGTTAAATTAAAAAAAGGCGAAATGGCTTTTGGTAGGAACGGCCCACAAATTTGCATTAAGTGGAAAGACACGAGAGATGTTCTTGTTATGTCAACATGTCACTCGGCTGACATGGCACCTGTGACTGTCAAAGCTAGGGGCGGTCCAATACAAAAATTTAAACCTGTGGCCATCATCGATTATAATAAATATAAAACGGGGGTGGACCACGGTGATCAAATGATCACCTACTACCCCGTCAAACGTAAAACTTTAAAGTGGAGGAAAAAAATGTTTTTTTATTTATTTAAAGTTAGTGTGGTCAATAGTTTTATAATATACAAGCATTATGCCTCACAAAATAAAAATCCCTGTTTGAAAACGTTTATGATCAATCTCTGTCAACAAATGGCCGAGAAATCAGGTGAAATAATTGAGACTGACACGGGAAATGAGCCAAATAATGTTGATAGCCTTACTGGTAGACATTTTATAAAAAAAATTCCACCTACACCAAAGAAAGCTAACCCTCGTAGAACGTGCAAAGTGTGCTCAAAAAAAATTAAAACGGGCAAATTAGATCGTTGTAAAAAAGAAACGTCATACTATTGTCCAATTTGTGATGTACCGCTTTGCATTGACAATTGTTTTGAAATTTACCACACAAAAAAACAATATTGGTAAAAATATATAAATTATTATTATATTGTATCATTTAAAAAGGTAATAACCTATATTATAATATTATGTTTATTGTTTTTTTTTTTTAATATTTTATTAGTTTTTACATAATTTTTTTATACGTATTTTTGTAGATACCTACTGTTAAACGTATTTATTAAAAATATGTTTATTTATTATTTGTTAATGTATAATTATTATGAAGGAAACAATGTTTATTTTAAAAATAGTGATCATTTATGTTTATTGATATTTGAATTATTCAAATTTTTGTATACCTACAAAGAATGAAATGTGTATCTGTTCATTTTTATGATTACAAAGTTATAAACATTACATACATCGCGTGTTTACAGAAAAATATTATTATCGAAACGAAACAAAAATAACATTATTTTTTTAGTCCTTTTCTCCTACTATAAAAAAAAAGTATTGTAGTTGGTATAGTCATAAAAAATACGACAAGATAAAATAAAATAATTATCTCGGTCAACTTTTTGTTTTGACGGTTGGAACTGTCGTAATAAGCCGTATATTACATACATCGTGTTCTAGATAATCATATTTATTTTTAGACCTATATTTAGATCAACACTCGGCGAGTTCGATGAAAAAAAAAAGGAATTAATCGGATTATTCAATAGCGAGTAAAAAAATATGGAAAACATGAGAAAATAGCCCGTCCACACAACAAATAATTGGCGGGAAATGTTCGTCTGTATACATTAAACACACGTACCGCGTTAAACGCGGCATTCGTCTCCAACGTATTAACATTGTAAAAATTCTAGCGTCTCACTTATCTTAAAGGTCCGGTCAAACAGAAAGCGGACTGTCCGCGCGGCCAGGCCGCCGGTCCGCCGCGTACTAGTCCGCCCGTTCGCTGATAGTCAAACAGAATGCGGACTATTTGAGCGAACCAGTTTGAAAACTGCACTAAAGTGTACTGCTAGTTATTTTTTTATTTTTACTTTTTCACTTTTCTGTTTTAATATTACAAAATGTCAAGTAGTTCTTCCGACGAAGAAGAATTGCTACTTCTACTTGCCTTAAGTCAAGCAAGAAGAAAAAAAAGAAAATGGGTACATGAAATAAACCAAAAAATGAAAGAATTCGGCGAGTTTCACCGACTGTGCAGTGAATTGAGTTCTTTTGAAGACCGATTTTTTACATATTTTCGAATGTCTCGAGAACAGTTTGAGAATTTACATACTCTTTTAGAAAATAAAATATCGAAACAGACTACTAATTGGAGGAAACCCATAGGGACAAAGGAAAGGTTAGCAATTTGTTTGAGGTAAGTAAAAATAATCGTTATTTTCTAACAGTATTTATTTATTAAATAATTTTTTACTACATTTTACATTTTAAATTATATATTTATATCAAAATAATAAATTAAGTTGCGAAGTGTTCATACCATTCTTTTGCCGAATCTGAAGTTGAATTAAATTCCTGCGGTGGCCTGTTTGTAGAATAAATATTACTTGTTTCTCCGGATGAATTGTTATTATAGGTTTGGTTCATTTGCCATGATGAACTACTTGAATTTGATGGAGAGAATTGATTTTGAGCATCGATTTCTCGAAGTTCAGCTCGGCCAAACATTTGAGCCATCTCCATTTTCATAACAGCCTGTGTTCTTGGAGAAAATTTTTTGAATGTCTCTGCATAACTCAAAAAAAGGTTGTCGTATCGACAAGGTTATTTTTTTGTTTTAGTTCTTTTTTATTTTCAAGATAGTTTATGACACTATCAACGTCCGAACTGACTTTTGACTTGAATTTTTTCGGAGGTGGTGGCATTTGATTACCGTCCTCTGATACCCAACCGTCCTCGTTACTATCATCTTCCTCATGAACAACTCTTTCACTTGACTGAGGTATATTTGACACAGTTGGTCGTGGTGTAACTGTATCTCGAAGAAACTCTAAATGCATTGCCCAAGGCCAATTTTTGAATTTTTTTGCCGAACCAGTTGTTCCCTTCAAGAATTTAAGATACTTCACATATGAATCCCTCAAATTTTTCCATTTTAGCTTCACAGCTTCAGCTAAAGAAAACGAATCAATCAGTTTTAAAGAAAAGTTTTTAAGTTTTCGATAGTTTTTATTTTTATATGCACATTTTTATTTGTTTATTGTTGTTTATTATTATTAGGGGTCTGAATTGGGTAGTTATATGTATTAATTTGTTATAGGTATTTGGCCACAGGAGATTCCCATCATACAATTTCTTTCTCATTTCGTGTTGGGCGAACAACAGTTTCCAGCATAGTTAAAGAGGTGTGTATGGAAATATGGAATGTTCTACAGCCAATGTATTTGGTCACTCCCACTGAAGATACGTGGAGAAAATCTGAAATTGGATTTAAAGAACGATGGAACTTTCCCAATTGCATAGGGAGCATTGATGGCAAGCATGTAGAAATCAAATGCCCTAATAAAAGTGGTACAAGTTATTTTTGCTATAAAAATTATTTTTCAATTGTACTATTGGCCATAGTTGATCCTTACTATAATTTTATAATTGTTGATATTGGTAGCTATGGACGACACAGTGATAGTGCAATATTCGAGAATTCTTCGTTCTATCGTGAATTTGTTGATAATAAAACAATTTTGCCACCAAAACCCTTACCTGGGACGGATACCCCTGTCCCGCATGTGTTTGTAGGTGATGAAGGATTTAAGTTACAAACATATTTAATGCGTCCTTTCTCAAGAAAAGCAATTGTTGAAAATCTAGAAAAAAAAAATTATAACAAACGGCATTGCAGAGCTCGACGAGTCGTTGAAAATGCTTTTGGGATTTTAGCCCAAAAGTGGCGTGTATTTTTTAGGCCTATTGAGTGTGATGTTGAAACTGCTGTTCACGTTATCAAAGCCGCATGTTGCCTTCACAATTTTATTAGAACTACCGCAAATGGCACTACTGATGAGAGAGAATCAACAGAGGACATCATAAATCAAACTTCCATTGCTTTTTCAACCTCTACTCGATTAAGAGAAAGATCAAGTGATATGGCTCAAGCTGTGCGAAACCATTTCGTACACTACTTTAATTATTTAAGTCAATGATTCATAATATATAACATTTTACGAACTTATATTTATATTGTATTTATTATAATATTTATATTTTTCATTTTATTTTAAAATAATAAATAAAAATATAATATCGTTTGTAACTTACTGCTTAGATTAAGTTTATGTGCAATATCTGTCCATTTTTCTGTTTTTTTAACTGCATCTTTATAATCTGGATGACTTGTATCATATAAATAAACGCATTCTCGTACAAGATCAATCAATCGTTCCGTTTCATCGGCCATCGTTCTTTTTCGGTGTACAGTTTTAAAATGAATGAAGTACTTTATTTCAATTTATAGCTTATACCACAATACTATATATTTTCTTCATTTCTCGTATCAAAACAAGTTATTTCAATATTGTTATAAATATCGTAGATAAGGTAATAATATATAAATAAACAAGTTATTTCAATATTGTTATAAATATCGTAGATAAGGTAATAATATATAAATAAACAAGTTATTTCAATATTGTTATAAATATCGTAGATAAGGTAATAATATATATTATCGTAGATAATTTTGATTCTTATAATATTATACTTGACTAGTATAGTATATTTATTAGAATATTATTATTATATTATCTATATATTTTATTCGAGTCCGCCGCGAATTTTGTGAAAAAATACAACAGCCTGTTTGTCCGCGGCGGACTAGTATAGTCCGCCGCGGTAGACCGCCGTCTGTTTAACCAGCGTGATGCATTTAAATAGTGCACACGGTCCGCGACGGACCGGCGGCCTGGCCGCGCGGACAGTCCGCTTTCTGTTTGACCGGACCTTAAAACCGTGGCCGTGCCTAACACGGTACTCGTCTCCAATGTGTTAACAGAATTTTCATTAGGTATATTCATTAAAATTTCATCCGGAAGACTACTAACCGCCTCGGCAAAAATCTGACTTGGTTTATCGATAGATATTTTAGCACGATTTTTTATTTTGTGTTTAAATTTTTCTACTTCCAATGTGGTATGATTGCCAGCATGATTATGTTCTATATCTAATTTTGCTTTAGAAATGTCTTTCGGTGTACATAATACTGCAGGACACTTGTATTTATTCTTCAAGCTACATTTCCATCGTATACTCTTGGTCAATTTATGTTGAATCGTATACGAGAATCCAACGTACACTATTTTATTTATAGTATCTCTTTTCGTTTTAAATTTAAATATTTCACTCATTTTCACAAGATTTGGATTTAAAGACACTAATAAAAACGTTTACGATACAAAACATCGACTGAGCATTTGGTAAAATAACCAGGTTAAGTAAAGATAATTTGTAATAAATTTGTTATATATTATCTATAACATATAGGTAATAAAGATTAGATTCCTATAATGGCTAACACTGAAAGATAATAGTATTAGGTACCCCAACTTAATAAATTCGCCAACAAACGATAAACTAAACCGATAATAAATAAACCGGACTTTCTTCGCGGGTCTTTTTTTACCGGACTTTTGTTCGCCGGACTTTTGTTCGTGGATTCAGATTTTCCATATCAAGAGACACGTAGGATTATTGAAATTGGTTATAGAAAGAAGAGTAGAATTAAAGAACCGTAGGGGCAGACCAAGATTAGAATTCATTCAACAGATAATAAAGGACCAAGGATGTGACTCGTATGTGTAAATGCAAAGGAAGATGGCTGCAAACCAATCTTCGGATTGAAACCATAGAGAGAGATTTATTTAAAAAACACTCCCGAAAGCTATTAGTACAGAATTAATTAAATATTTAAACTAATTTGAATAACGACACACATACAAAAAACATCATAGCATTAAATACAACAATATTAATTTAATATGTTTACACACTGGTTTTATCATTTACTATACAATATACTAAATAAATAAAAAATGGTTAGCAAGAAAATATATTATTTTGTAACGCTTTTTGAGAAGAATGAGAAACATCAAATTTGTTTTCTTAGATATTACAGGAGACTAGTTCTCTATTAATAGGGGAATAAACAAGTATAGTGTTTTGTGACTAGAAATGTGAAAGGTCGGCCGGGCTCTAGAATTAAATGTGGGAACTGATATATTTATTTGGCTGAGCAGAAATCTATCTTTTATTGTGCCATGTATTATTTTGTAAATAAATATGGCGTCAAAATATAAACGTCTTGATCTTAGAGAGTTAATATTAACCAAGCTTCTAACTCAAGATCAATACATTTCGAGGAAAATATTGAAAATATATTATTCTTTGCTAGATAATTTTTTAGGTAAGAATTTTTATCGCCACGCCATCTAGCCATCCAGCTCTAATGTGAAGTGGTTGTCATGATGTTTCGACCTCAATTGCAGTGGAGGGGGTAGATTTTAAGGCACCAATGATGGATCTTAGATAGAATCTTAGAAGTTTGTAATTTATTGAGTTTATTAAGATGCGAGAGAGCAGAAAAATCTGAGAAGAAACAACAATAGTCTAATAGTGCGAGTACAACAAATTTGAATTTAAGTATTAAGGTGGAAGGCTGGGATCCCTACCATGCATTGGCCATGGATCTAAGAAAGTTAGACCGACGGGTGGCAAAAATTGTTAAGTCACGTATGTGAGGGGACCATCGAAGTTTATAGTCCAACTTAAGACCTAAATACGTGTAGTTTGAGACATAGGGAATTGTATAACCATTAATAATTGTTGTATTGTGAAATTGGATGTAGCATCTTTTGGAAAAGATAAATTTTATTTTTCATTAGCAATTGGAAAAAATTAAGATGCTAAAGCATTGTGTAAAGAATATAACGCATAGTTAAGAGAGGCAACTGCTAAGTCTATTGTCTATTGTGTGAGTAAATAACTATGTCAACTGTATAAACAAGAAAGCTATGACCAAAAGAGTCAAAACGATTATCTACAAATCACGTGTAAATATTGAAGAGGAGACGGGAATTTTATAACGTTTAGATGGGAGATTAACCTGGAATATACAAGGAGGCAGAGGCACCACGTGCATCAATAAAAGTGGCAACAAGATACTCTATATTATTGAAAGATTGATAAATATTACAAATTAAGTTGGCAAGGCACTCAGAGGTAGGGCTACCTCGCCTAAAAGCGTAACAATTATCAGGTAGAATTGAACTGGATTAAGTCACCAGTCGAGTCTATTTTTGAACATGTGTTCCACTAGTTGTAAGGTGCAGAAGATAATGCTATCAGGTGGAAAAATCACTTGACTGAACTTTTGGTATGAGTATTACTTTGTATGTTTTCCAAGATTTAGAGGTGAGATTTAGGGGCGTTATCATAACTGTAAAAGTCGTAAATAGAACCAGAGTCGCGAAAAGTTTGGAAAAGCTTATTACGATTTTTAACGTCTTGAGTGCATGCAGCGTCCCACCAAGTAGGTCAAGGAGAATATAGATTGCTGTTTTTATGTTGGATTGAATTGATAATTTGGCAGTCTTAAATAATTAGGGTAAACTGGTTGTGAGCTTTAACTGGGCAGGAAGTGTTATAAATTTACATTATGTTGCGGTTTATTATGTCGGAAAATAAATTCTAATCGGCTTTGTTAAGATTAAATTTAATGAATCGATTGAGAACAGTTCTAACATTCGGAGTGATATTTTTGGTAGCAGGGCTGTTTAATGCAATTGAAATTACTATTAGAAAATGGTCACTATTATGCGAGTTAGACATGGTTGACCAGGTCGATGACCACGTTAGATTAGGGGAACAGAAATATGTGACTTTTTTCAGAATTGGGGTGGTTGGGCCTACTTACGTGGGTGGCAGCGCCCGTCTTTAGAATACTAAGACCTAAAGAATTGATAGTATTGTAGATTATGTTGCCGTCTCTGTTGACAGCGATGGGTTTGAAAATAATAACAGACACATCACATTTTGTACCGTCCCACAAATTTTCCTCTGGGAAGGATTTGTCTCGATAATTGTGCGATAATTAAAGTTGAAGGTACCGGGTGATTCATTTAACGTCATAGTGCCATATTATAATAAGTAATTCAGTAATTGCCAATTGGATCATAACTATCACTTATCGCATACCTACTTACCTACTTGAGTGTATTCATGGTCTAATTTGTCATGAGTGTATTCATCACCACCCTATACCCATTTACGATTAGATACATTAGACTAATTTTGATCAGATATTATTTTGTATTGTTCTGCTATTTGCTGTCTTCTGTGCACTCTGTGCACGGTTATTTTGGTACTTGTCTACTATCAATTGTTATCAATATATCATGCGTTTTGCTCTGTGCTGATATCATAGTTCCATCATAGACTTTATACTTAGTATAAGGTATAAGCCATAAGGTCTATGAGTTCCGTGGACTACATGGAGACAGATACATGTCGATATGAGTATACCCGTTACCTGGTAACCATGGATAATACCATGATAATACGTCGAGTAGATAAACGGTTGTCGGACGTCGGTTAGGTTATAAGATACTAACATCAAATTGAATCGTGAATCGTGGTCGTAATTTGTATAAAAATATTAAATAAAATATTGAATTTTTAAACTCTACAGTTCTAAGTGTTCAAATTGTGTTGATAAACGTTTAGTAGTAATATTAGTTTTTGTAAATATTATAGTATCATATACTACATATTGTATTTCATGTATTTTCTTTTAATAATTTAATCCAACATATGAGTACTCCTCAAGTTGGAGAATTGAAATATTGAATACTTGGCAATTACATTTGTACTATTCATTAGTAAGTTTTACTAGTTTAGTTTTTAGTTGCCAAAATTAAACAATTTATCAAACATACTAAATCAAGAAATTTTTATTTCAGATTAATCATGTATACAAGTACAATTTTTGTTCAAATCTTTGTATGCCTAACCTATGAATTACTGGTACCTACAGGATACTTAAATGTGGACTGTTACCTATATAATCAAGTTATTTATCACTACACAGAAATATTAAAAAACAACTAAGATGTTCCTGCGAGTTATTATAAAGTTTGTTTTCCTTTGATGT